AGAGGGAGTAAAGGTTGGTTGTCTTTGGTCTTTTCTTTGTTCTTGCAGTTGATTTCCCTGGAGACGAAGTAAGTCAACAGTGACTTGCAGGGAAGTGTCTCTTTGGACTTCATGGACAACCTCCTGTATGCCCCCAGCAAAAAGGGAGGGTGTTGACAATGGCATTTGGTACAGCCTGTTCTTAAATTGATCTTAAAATGAGCAATGTTGTAACACCCCACGTCTACGAAGAGTAGTGATAGATCCCACATGGTGAGCATGTAGTATAACTGTCGTTTTCTCCTGGATGAGGGTCCCAGCACCTCGAATACAGGATTCTTCTGAGGAAGATGCATAAGCTAGAGCAGATGAAAGTGCTTCAGTTGCTGATTAAATAGTGGAGACCAACGGGAGGGTCCTTCGAACAGTGGTGTCGAGGTGAACGAGGTCCCTGTCATCCACAGAAGAAGCTGAGTACGGACGCTTAGGAGCTAATGTTGCGATGTCACGATCTAGTTCGGGAGCAATCGTAGACGAGCCATGAGTCCCTGCATCCGCCAATACAAAGACTGGAGATTAAAGCCAATCACGAAGATGGTGAAAGGATCCAAATGCTTTGTCTAAATTGGTGGCGATATCCTGTAGGACTGGTCTCGGAGGGAGTGTGATTTTGGGCGACGAGGCTGTAGGCAAAACAAATGATGATAAAGTGTCCTCCGTTGAAGTGCTTTTTAACAATTGTAACTTATCTGCTATCCAGATAAGTACAGCGATCGGATCTGCTATGTCAAAGCTCCCAGAAGAGGAAGCTGGGGAAGTATAGTGGTCTGATGACTCTGATTCTGGTGGGTGATCCACTGAAAGGGATGTAGTGGGTGTTGATGCAGATGGAGGTACCGTATTTGGTACAGCAGGTGCCGGTTGGGGAAAGATATGCTGCTGTTACAGCCTGAAACAGAGAATGAATCTGTTCTGCTGGAACAGCAGAAAGCTCGCTAGGGATCCATGATGTAGGGATGATGGAGCTTGTGATGTTGCAGGAGTGATTCAGAGGAAGGGCGTTGAACCGGAGGTGGCGATGGGGAGCCGGTACGACGAGAAGGTGAAGTAGAACTCTTCCTATCTGTAGGTGAAGGACATCTACTATGAGGGGTGTTCATTAAAGATTTCCCCTGACCCACTTCCGATGGACCTAGTGGAATGAAACTTGGCATAGGTATTAGTCATTCTCCACATAGGAACCACCAAGAGTTACACACTTCTCCCATCGTTTTATGGAGTTCTTAAACCAGGACTTGACTTCAGAAATCAGTGTTTCATCATCTGTGAAACGTTTTCCCTTCAAAAATGACTTCATGGTTGGAAAGAGGTGGAAGTCAGATGGTGCAAGGTCAGGAGAGTAAGGAGGATGTGGAAGGATTTCATAGCCACAGGACCGCTTCTGTCTGGGCAACATGAGAGTTGTGTACTGGAGCAATGTCTTGCAGGAGACGGACACCCTTGGTCAGCATGCCACGCCTCTTAAGCTTGATAGCGTCCCGCAATTTCCGCAGCAGTGAAGCATAATAAGCTCCTGTAATTGTGGTTCTCTTTGCCAAGAAATCCATCATCACTACTCCGTGCTGGTCCAAAAACACTGTGAGCATGACCTTGCCTGCAGAGGGTTGGACACGTGCCTTCTTTGACTTCACATGCTTCCATTGCAAGAGAAAACCCGTCTGCTCAAAGTGCAGACAGGTCTCCGTGTGGACTGCTCGTCCCTTATAAAGAATAACTATCCCAAACAGGGATATAAGTAAATTTGCAGGCAATTAGACGACTAAAATATGAAGATCGCTTGCAAGCGAAAAAGAAAAACCCAAAATGGATTCCTGTAATAACAACACGTCACCCCTGCGTTGCGATTTGAAAGAGAATGAGCTCACTCGGATAGACACGTGTTCATTGCAAGAAGGTCACCCAGCATGCATAGCGCATGACCCAGATCTGGGAGGTGACCACTGCGATGTGAGGTATGACAGGGTTAATTAACTTTAGAAGCTGGAAACCTATATTTTAGATACGTTTTGACCCAGAATCGAGTGAGTGAGTGTGTGAGTTTGATTTTACGGCACTTTTAGCAATATTCCAGTAATAACACGGTGGGTGGCACCAGAAATGGGCTTCACACATTGTACCCATGACGGGAATCGAACCCAGGTCCTCGGCGTGATGCTTGAGCCACTAGAAGTACCCGACCGCCCCGTCAGAATCGAAAGAAGAAAGAAATATGCATAGTGTGAGATAAGTTTTAAAATTCCTTTTTACGAATGACCCTTAGTGTTCTGATTATCAACATCACAGTTAAAACAAAAATAGTTTATTTAACTTTTATGTACCATTTCATTAACATAAAGCTCAATTCTTATTATTCTGGAAGTGTAGACCTCAGAGTGTTGATGAGATTTTAAGCTTCAATTCAGTTCAGGATAAACTCGGAAAGCTGAATTGTCCAAACTGTGCCACATCAGGCGAAATCTTTTGAATAATCTTACCTCCAGGATCATCACAAAAAAAGCCTGTGTTAGTTCCACTGCAGCCAAGTGTGCAGTGCCCAGTTTGATGGTTGCATCTCTGTTCTAGACAGTTCCGGCTGCAGTCTTGATTACACAGATCACCATGCCAACCACGCTGGCATCCCTCAGAACACTTCCCCGTGTCCGTGTTACAGTAGGGAACATCAAACGGAGGAAGACGGGCACAGTTCTGGGGGCATGTTAGGTTGCAGTGCTCGCCATATAAGCCCCAATTACATGCTGTGTAGCCCTGGACAGCCACGACTGAAATAGAGCATCTTCATGAATATCAACATCTGGATAATCCATTGTTATGTGAATCGTTTACTATTCTTATCACTACAGCTTCTGGCTTTAACATCTAAATTTGCAAACTATGGGTTTTTTTTCAAATCCACTGACCAAAATTTACTCTTCTTATCATAAAAGCTTCTTAAGCATCTAAATTCTTTTTACCTAGTGGTACTACTTTCAGATCAATCCTTATTCAGTTTGTTCATCAATAGCGTCTGTTGTTTAATTGGTATAGAAAGAGGTGCCAATTTATTAATGCGTATTTATATCATTTGTTTTCATTTCCAGTTATCATTTTACACAAGTTACTCACAGAATGGCAGCACAAGTTGGAAGAGTCGCAGCATCGTTGAGACAATACCTGAAACGGAAGGAATGCCTTTTACTATACATATTTGAAATACCAAAAGACATTTTCAAGATACCAAAATTGGGATTAAAATAAATACTGGACACATATTCTTTCCAACCTTCAGAAGGCATGATTAACATAGAAATGATAAGAAAATAAATAGTACACAGCTTTCATAAGCACCACTGAGACTGGTTTGTTTACACATCTGACTGCTATCAATGAGGACAGACTGGGGACTAACCGATATCTCAATGTAAATAGGTTCATATACATAGTCTTCTTTAAACCATCGTATTGTAAAGAATACACCCCATGTGTCAAAATTAATTAAATGTGACACGAGTATCAATAGAGGTTATCACGCGAGTGTGTTTGGGGATGGTAAATATCCTGCATTAGAAATAAACATAGTATTTAGCGAGCCTTGGCGAGCTCAATACATAGTGTTTATTCCTAATACAGGATATTTACCATCCCCAAATACACAAGTCTGATAACCTCTTTATCATATAATGTCATTCTTTAATTCTGTACATCAAATTCGCTTTCACTCTTTCACAAACATTACCGAAACATTGCGAGTTTTCCTGGAATGCGCGCTTTAATATTTATTACGTCATAGGGTCAGTGATGTGTCAGTCGGACAGTGACAGTAGCCAATATAGTTCCAACTAAAATCTATTTTTTATACAGTGGCGAAGCAACATAAACGCAAAACAACAATTGTTTTTAATTTCCTTTTGCGGCAATCCATCGGTCTGTCCGCTAGAGTAACTGCCCTTTGTCAAAGGGAAGCTACTCTAACCCTAGTCTATGAGACGTCACGGCCACGGTCAAACGTTGTTGACAGTCGGTCTTTCCTGTCATAACGTTAAGAAGTGTAGTCAGATGTACACACAGCGACAAAACTAAACAAGGTAACAATTCAAACATATTTCGGCCAAATCCAACTATTTTAATATGTTGAGAAGGTTTCAAGCCGCAGGGGTCTAGTACTCTACAAGCATAGATATGGCTACTGATCCCACTTGGCTAGGCCTCGTGCCGACGCAAATGTTACGAAATTTATATCTCCAAAGTTGCCAAAACTTATAAAATCCCTTAGCTACGTCACAGTGAGACACTGATTTTCAGTATATTAGACTGTTCTTTTGATAATGATAGCAATTATCCCTGTAGTTTATCCAGATTCCTGATGGTTAATTATGACTCCATCGCCGAATGACGAGGCCATGTTTGCTTATAAACACTCAGAGTAGTCCCTACTTGACCTTTGATATTTGCATCTCTATCCGCATATGACCCCAACAGATATCGTTTTTATCCGCTGGCTTTATCCTGCCGAGAAACCTACCCATTATATGATAAAAGGTTATAGTATATAGTTCATGGACATATTCTCTATTTTCAGATGTTATATTATTCAGAGATATTTTTGTGGAGGTTTTCACATTGAAGAGCATTTCACCTATCTCATGGATTGATACACAATATGAGCGATGTCATCCATTATCTTTATTGTTCATTTTGTTCTTTTTAGAGGGATTGTGCAAATCCTCACTACTAAATTCAAATACGATAAGTTTTCTTTTCAGTGTGTAGGTTAATCTTTGAAATAGATATAAAATCATCCTAGTGTATGGAGCATAATATGTTTACTCATAAAGGAAACATATCACGTGGTTGTGGTTATCATAACCCTGCACAATTCATTTTTTCCGGCTAATGAGGAAAAAGAAACTTTTTAAAAGAGAGTGAGTCATAGGCGGCTAATAAGGACAAACCAACTTTACACACACACACAAACCCAGCTGAAAACCGGACAGTGTGGCACAGCTTCCACTAACACACAACTGTACGTATTCCTGTTGTGTTGAGCTTACAGAACACATCATGACACTGTTGAAGTTCATATGTATGACGTATCTGATAATTTCTTCGAAAGGTAAGAGTTCTAGCTTCAAATTGTCTCATATACTACTATTTTGTCTTCTTTTCTCGCATTCTCTTATAAGTAAAGTTGTCCCATAAACTGATTTCAGTCAGTGGATCATGTACAGAATTTGTCTTAAAATAAAGCCTGATGTAACAAAGTAACTGCTTGCATATTCTTAAATGTGGTCTGCTGACGACATATCGTTGCCTTCATGAATAAGAAGTTAGTGTATGCTGTTAATGTGACATATGCTCTTATTACAGGGTACTGAAGCCATAGTATCAATTATCAAATATTGAAGTCTTTTCAATTTCAGGCGACCAGTGCAAGTATAACCAGCACTGTTCAGACTGTGACAGAAGTACAGGGCATTGCCTCACAGGCTGTGACCCTGGGTATTTTGATCAGATCTGCAGTTCAGAATGCAGCAGGAACTGCAGAAATCACTCATGTCAGTTGTCAATCTCCGGCATTGGTGCTTGCACTGAGGGTTGTGTCCCTGGATATCAAGGTCCTGGGTGCAGCATACGCTGTGACAGTCCAGGGGGTACCTGTGTAGCATGTCCAGGTAGTTGTGATGGAGGATATTGTCAGCTGGGCTCCTCCTGTGTGTCTGGATGTGTAGACTCCTACTACGGGACTGGCTGTAAGACGTGTTCAAGTAGATGTAAGTCCTGCAACAGGATGACAGGATTGTGCAAGGAGTGCCATCCAGGATATTTCGGTCCAAACTGTGATTATTCCTGTGATCATTGCCTGGGATTCTGTGAACATAGATGCGCAGAGGACTGTCTTCCTGGATTCTATGGGACTTTCTGCGAGGAGAAGTGCAATGAAAATTGTGGACCAGACCCCAACGTTTCTACCAGCAAGCCTCTACAGGCACCACATGCTGGTTTACCTAACTGCCACAGAGCTAGTGGGGATTGTATCCACGGGTGTAAAGAGGGTTGGCATGGTCAACAGTGCTCTTCTCCATGCAGTCCTATTTGCGCCAATAAACGATGCAAGTCTACAGGTGACTGTGTAGATGGTTGTGTACCTGGACATTTCAGTAGAGACTGTAAACCCTGCCCTGTCAACTGCCTTCACAACATGTGCCACTCGGACAACGGGAAGTGTACAGACGGATGTACACGTGGCTTCTATGGTGGACTCTGCCAGCACACGTGTGAAGTGTGTCTTGATGGTGTCTGTGATCAGAAGATTGGTACCTGCACCAAAGGCTGCCACCTGACTGAACTGAAGTGTGATTCTACCTGCACGTTCAACTGTTCTATAGCGGAATGCCGGAAAGCGGAACATTGCAACCAAGGTAATTATAACTCTATTATTCTTCCTCGTTGAATCAGTTCAGTTGAATGTGTTATATTATACTCAACAACAAAAGTACCAGTGAGTACCAATATTTTAGTGTATTTTTCAAACAAGTAAAGTTTGGTTTTCAATATTGTAGTACATGTATGGAATCAAGTGTCAAAAACGCAACTGCTACAGAAAAGCATGCATTCCATGCAAAAGTTGACTTTCATGCAGGCCCCATGCATTTCACTACCCAAGAATGGGTATAAAAACATGTGCGTTAACGGGATAACATATGCATTGTTTAGCACCGTGCTGACAACAATCACTCAGATAAACAACAAAATTACGCAATTACTCAACATTATGAAATGCCATGCCTGTCCGAAAATGAGCGTTGGCGAACCATTGGTATGCTTGAATCAGGATCGGGTCAACGTGATGTTGCAAGACAATTTAACGTCCACAGAAACACCATTTGGTGTTTATGGCAACGTTGGCAACAGAAGAATGCAGTCAGATACCATCCTCAGAGTGGCAGGCCACGAGTAACCAATAATCGACAAGACAACTGGATTCGAACAACACACCTACGAAATCGATTCCAGCCAGCAACAGTGCCTGCAAGAACCATCCCTGGCCTTCGACGAATATCTTCACAACCCGTACGTCGTCGCCTCAGATGTGCAGGGATTGTCACCAGAAGACCCACTAGACATCCAATTTTGACAGAAAACCACCGTCAAACACGTCAACAGTGGTGCAGACAGCGTCTACGCTGGACGGCCATGCATTGGGCACAAGTTCTATTCACTGATCGAGTCTTGTTTCCACCTCAGCCACAGCGATGGACGGATTCGAGTGGACCGACGTCGAGGTGAACGTTACGTCAAACGTTGTGTCATGGAAGAAGATCGGTTCGGGAGCGGCAGCGTTATGGTATGGGGTAGGATTACAGCAAGACAGAGGACCCGTTTGAATGTGGTAGAGGGAAATCTCAATGGACAGCGCTACCGCGAAGAGATCATCGGCCCTGTTGTTCTACCGTTTTTGCGTCGTCATGGCCTAGGCATCACCTTTCAACATGACATAGCCCAGCCACATATTGCTCGACTTGTTCAGGATTCTCTCTTAAACAAAACAACGTGAATGTCATTCCCTGGCCGGCTCGCTCCCCTGATCTCTCACCAATCGATCACATCTTGGATGAGATGGATCGGCACCTTCAACGTCAACCACGTGTTCCACAGACACTCCAGGAACTTCGAATCATGCTCCAGCATGGACGCCTTGTCCATTCCATGAGATGAAGATGTGTTGCGTGCAACCAGAGGGGACACACACGCTATTGATTTGTAAATTGGCATTTTGGCATGTTCATGTTTTTTTATGAAATCACGCATTTTCGGATGCATTATGGCAAATTAAACCATTTGAATACTTACAGGAGTCTTTTATCTGTTGCAAACCGAAATTGTTTCAGATCAGGTAAAACATTTAATTTTATTCAATGTCACATGAACTTTTGTTGTTCAGTATATTTACTTTGTCCATATTTTGCTATGAGAAGTTCGAGGGTTTAGATGGTGTTCCCATATCATGTGTCCTTTGATGTCTATTTGAAAACTGCCCTTATTGAATAAGCTTCTACCTATCATTTTATAACGCATTTCAGGTGATAGTGACACCAGCATTGTTGACCTGAAGATTGGACTATCAGCAGCCTTTTCACTTTTTGTAGTAATCATCCTGCTGGCCTTATCACCCATCTACTGCAAACATTTAAGAACTTTTAAGTGAGTACAGTAAATATATATAATCAACCACTACTTTAATTAAATTAGATATGTGCATGGTTTAACACATTCATGCATTTTCAACTGGTTTCTTAACACATAACCATGCCACTTGTACCATAAAAGTATGTACTTATGCACTTGTCCTGTGGGAATTATGGTTTAGAAGAGATCTAGATCCCAAGTAACCAATGCTTATCAGGCTCGGTGACTTGGCGGAATTCTAGACATTCACTAGCCTGGAATGATGAGGGACGCCGATCATGATAGGTTGTGCAGACTGGATTATTAACATGATGCCACCATAAAGCTTGACTTATGCACTTTTTTTATATTCACAGACAGCACACAATACAGGGAATTATACCACATGAAGCACCAAGTCATGAGGACCAGGTACCCCCGGACTACTGTGAAATCAGAGACGAAGATGTGGACATCGTGTATGAGCTGCCAACGATAAGAGGAGACGAATCAGTAACTGGAGCTGCCCCTGCCATACCTGTTCTAACAGACTGCTTTGTAGCAGACTGCGATAGTGCAGACAATGATGCTGCTTCGTCCGAGGAGCCATGCGTTGACGATAACACATACACTCACCTCGTGCGACCGGTTGTTGTTGAGCGGCCGGAAACAGTAGTGAACTATGTACCTCCAATCGAAGAGTGATACAATATTACTACAGCATGCTTTGTCTACAAATGATTCTGTATTTTGTTTTGTTTTTGTCAAATTATCTGCAGTCAGTCACCAAATGTTACACAATCGGACAAACATTAACATAGACAAAATATAACATGTTTAAAAGCAACATTGAGACAGAGGAAATTCGTAATCATAATGTCTCCCTGGTGATTATTATACGGGGTTCAATATGGAAAGTGAGGTATCCAATTTTATATACAAAAAGGGTGTGTAATTTTATCATTCTGACAATATATATTAGTAATAAGGGTTTTCAGACAAAGACAGACGCGGGGGGTACTGTTGATCACTCCTAACCTGCATAACCTCAGCTGTCATAATACTACCATTGGCAGGAAGAGTCCAGTCGTTTTATGAACAAGCCTGTAACTGAGTTTTGTCGATCGATGTGATGGTCACCTACTACCGTCGCAATGTGTCTCCCCGCCTTGTTGGGTGAAGGTTTTTCGAGACAGATAATTTTTATTTTTAACCATACTTAACCTCACTTTTGGTATCAATTGGGTTATGTCCGGGTTTCGGTTAGTTTCATAACGATATGGATGCAAGCGTGTGTTTACATTATCAATGAGTACATAATTATAAGGACATTTTGTAAATACATTTATTTCAGAGAGCAGTTGGCATGTTGAATTTCACCTACTGCATTTTACCTACAATTGTTGCTATTTGCCAGAATCAATTTATTTGTTTCAATTTTGTTATTGTTTTATTGATTTGTTTAGATTTTGCTTTCTGTGTTTATGATGGGTCGAATGTTTCATTTTTTTCCAGACCTCGATTTCATTTCCACATTTTATGTATCGTTTCACTTGTACAAGATTTATAGATTTCGATGTTAAGACCAAGAAGATGCAGATGTATTTATGAAAGATAAAAAAGGACATTGCTTAGATTTAGTATGTTCACTTTGTTAACTTTGTTAACCTTTCCACTCCTTTTAGAAATATGAAATTAAAGGTTACTGAGTGATGTGCCAGTTAAAAGTGTGAATGTCAAATATACACGTGTATGTACACTTTATAAGAAAGGATTGTAAATATTCGAAGAACTTTATTCGTGTATATATTAATTTCAATCTATGCATATGGTTATTGCCTTGTCAAAGGGACACTTTAAACAGGCATGTTAGCCGATAGGTTACAGAATGTCAGTGAATGTCATCACAATACAGGCTAATAAATCTTGTCTTGCCTCGTTTCCATGTTTCAACATTATTCAGGCTCATTGAACAATATCACTGGCGGCGAGTACCACGGATAAATAGGAAGCGTTCATTTCATTTTCTGTAATAAATGGAATGTATATGAAAGGTGAAATGTATGTTTATTTCTGTGTAATCTAAGCATGCAGCTTTTCAAATTTAATACCACATCTTTCGGGGGTATATTTCGTCTGAATAATAACAATAATAATGATATGACTTAATAACCAATAACCCGTTCCACATTCATAAGAAGAATGTTTTCCAAAAGCAGAGTCGATTGTACAATTCCGACTCTATCATGAGCATGTGCTTATGAATCACTATACAATCGTGATGATACCAGCTGTTCGCGAAAAGGAAAACATATCCTGCCCCACCGGTGGCACCTGTCACAAACACATGCAAAGGCAATTGTTCACCTAAAATAGTGGGGAAACATATGGCACAAGTCAAAATAAACTATTGCAACGGATATGTTTGTCACTGATGCGTCAAATTTAGAAATACATTTAACAAAGAAACAGTTCAAATGCCATGTAGAGCAAACTAAAGGCAATAAACGGTACCCAAAATTCATCAAACATCCATAAGAGTGACAACCACACAGATAACAAAATAAAAGCACGAACATTAGCTCCACACTATCAACACATAAGCAGTTCAATACTCACAACACCAGCTTACATCAACAGCCAGCCCAAGCCCATATACCCTACAACGCGCCCCTAACAATTCAACAGCTGACACACACTCTCCAAAGCAAAACCACGTCACCTTGGTCAGACAACATAACTTATATACTTATCAACATAAACAGCAAAATACTTCTATTCAAACTCCTAAACACAATTTGAGACACAGCACAACTGCCTACCACATGTAAAAAGAACTTGTAATCCAAATTAAAAAAATGCAACACCCAGACTCATATCGACCCATATCACTCACAACTTATATATGCAAAATCATGGACACAATAATTAAAAAAGAGCCTTGAACACCACATTGACACATATAATCTCTTACATGCAGACCAGAGCGAGTTCATGACAAACAGAACCACCCTAGAGCCAACATAACATCCACGGACCCCATTCCAGTAGCCATACTCTTCAAAACACCTTACATGAAAAACTACTCCCTATCCTCATCACAAAATAACATTGAAATCAACTCATGCACACACACAAAATTCCTAGACCTAATACTAGACCAACACATACACACTCCATTTCAAACACATCATCATCAAATAATACAACAAAGATCTAAACCCTCAAGCATGTCACTAGCCGATAGACGCTCCACTCGTTGCCGACTACGAATAGCTCGTTTATACAAAAATCAAGTAATCACAACTGAAAAGACATTCACGATCTTGCATAGGTCTTTTGTCGTCAACACTTGTTATTAACATACTCATCTCATGATCCCCTCCATTTTTTTAAGAGTATGTATTCAGTACTTAAATGTAAATGTAAATATGTCATGATGACGTGTCATTCCTTAATCAGTACAATGTTCTTGTATAAATGTTAACGTTGGTAATGATGGAGATATAGCTCAATACAATAGTCTTGTATTATTTCCTTGGTTACAGTTTAAAGGTTATTATGAATTGCCATATTTTTAACATGCAGACAGAACACATTTGATCAGTGGTAACAAAACACAGTGATTAATTGGTCAAGAGTTCACAGTATTTTCCAACCACGACACAAACATGAGTTCATGATCTGATATGGTATTTAACTAATGTGTCAAGACATGTGACAAAGGTGAGGTGAAATTGGGTTTAACGTCGCGTCCAAGATTATTGCACTTATATAGCGACACATGTGACAAAGACAATTAGTAGTGAGTAAAGAGTAGTGCGAGCTTTGTAGATGACAAAGGCAAATCGCCATCTCCCTGTTTACCCTGTCACCTGTTCAGGATAGTGACTGTCAACACAGTCCGGGATAGTAAATGCCATCACAATTCAGGATAGTTAAAGCCATCACAATTCAGGATTGTGAATGCCAACTCCGATGACCAGGCGAGTTGCAGAGGCATGGCTAAACTAACCATGATGACACGGAGCGGCAATATTTTCCGGTAGGGTCCCTTTATTCCAATGGTAACACAGTGGGCTAGCACTATAAAATCGGCATTATTCAGGACTGATACAAGCTATATGAGTGCACTTATCTTGAACGCGACGTTTTACCCCATTTCATCTCACTTATGACATTGTTTATTCATAATACATGGTATTTGCCACCTGAAAGCACATTGGCGTGATAACCTCTACACATCAAGCGGAACCCTATAAAAGGAGCAATGTTATTTTGCAGTGCATTATCGTTTGGAGATTTATTTAGTGTATCTCAGTTAATGTACACTGACTATGAACATTATGTATAAAAACCCAAATTGTGCCATTTACGAGCATTGCCCGCGCTCCGCCCCAAATGTTGGTTTCATATTTAAAGGTTTCAGATTCGCTTGTGTTCTGCTCCAAAATAAGGAAAACGGTTACAACAGTTGGAGATAATCTGAAGCATACTATTTGCTTTTTAAGAGTCAACATTTACAACTGGGTCAAGATATCACAGTTGTGGCCGTTAGTTGAGTCAGGATCCGGAATTAGTTTGTTCGAAGTCTACTTTCTTCTGGTTATGACCCATATTGTCACCACCAAATTTGGTTGTGAAATATCGTAGTCAGTACAAGAAGGACCACCCACTGCATGCAAATGGGAAACTAGAAGATGGATGAACTTTTCTCGTATGTAACACAAGTACAGGTTGACCAGTGTTTTACAAATGTTGTTATAACTGAGGTGAATGCCTGTAGACTGCTGAGTCAACAAGAAATGCCAAAAAGAGTCACTGAAGCTGAGCTTGACGTATTCCGTCCTTCTCCAGAGAGAGTCAACAGGAGGGTGAGCTTGGATGTCAAGCTCAACCACAGCCTGGGACGGATGCACCCAAGACAAGCCAAGAATCAGAACATATACACCTTGTTGGGTTGAGTGTTTCTGTTAATTTCAATTTGTATCGTTCCTTTGACCTACTGTTGATGCTGCTGAGTCACATTTGCATTCTGCATAGTCAATTAGGACTCATTGAAGCTTACTTTATGCAATAAGTTAACTAAGCTTTCATCGGGAGGACACTCCAATCCCAATTCAGCATAGTGAATGCCATCAGAGTTAATGATAGTGAATGCCATCAAAGTCCAGGATACTGAATGCCATCACAGTTAATGATACTGAATGCCATCACAGTTAATGATAGTAAATGCCATCACAGTCCAGGATACTGAATGCCATCACAGTCCAGCATGGTGAATGCCATCACAGTCCAGGATAGTGAATGCCAGCATTGTCCAGGATAGTGAACGCCATCACAATTCATGATTGTGAATGCCAAGACAATTCATGTTAGTCAATGCCAACATAGTTCATGATCATGAATATCATCACAATTCAGGATAGCGAATACAATCACAGTTCATGATAGTGAATGCCAACAAAGTTCATGTTAGTAAATGCAAACGCAGATCAGGACATTCAATGACATCACAATTCAGGATAGTGAATGCTAACACAGTTAATGATAGTGAATGCCTTCGCAATTCTTGACAGTGAATGCCAAAACAGTCCAAGATATTGAATGCAAACACAGTTCATAACAGTGAATGCCAACACAGTCCAGATTAGTGAATGCCAACACAATTCATGATAGTGAATGCCATCACAATTCATGATAGTGAATGCCAACACAGTCCAGGATAGTGAATGCCAACGAAATTCATGATAGTGAATGCCAACACAATTCATGTGAGTTAATGCCAACACAGTCCAGGATAGTGAATGCCAACACAATTCATGATAGTGAATGCCAACACAGATCATGATGGTGAATACCATCACAATTCATGGGAGTGAATACAACACAGTGCATGATAGTGAATGCCATCACAGTCCAGGATAGTGAATGCCAACACAGTCCAGGTTAGTGAATGCTATCACAATTCATGATAGTGAATGCCAACATAGTTCATGATAATGAATATCATCACAATTCAGGACAGTGAATACCATCACAGTTCATGATAGTGAATGCCATCACAGTTCAGGATAGTGAATGACATCACAATTCATGATAGTGAATATCGTCGCAATTTAGGATAGTGAAGGCCATCACAGTCCAGGATAGTGAATGTTTTCAAAGTTCAAGACAGTGAATGCCAACATAGTCCAGGGTAGTGAATGGCAACACAGTTCGTGATAGTGAATATCATCACTGTTCAGGATAGTGAATGTCCTCACAGTTCATGTTAGTGAATGCAAACACATTTCAGGATAGTGAATGTCATCACAATTCAGGATACTGAATGCCATCACAACTCTTGACAATGAATGCCATCATTGTCCAGGATAGTTAATGCTTGGCATAACAATTTAGAATAGTGAATGCCATTACAGTCCAGGAAAGTGAATGCCATCACAGTCTAGGAAAGTGAATGCCAGCATTGTCCAGGATAGTGAACGCAATCACAATTCATGATAGTGAATGCCAACACAGTTCATGATAAAGAATATCATCACAATTCAGGATAGTGAATACCATCACAGTTCATGATAGTGAATGCCATCACAGTTTATATCAGTGAATGCCAACACAGTTCAGGATAGTGAATACCATCACAGTTCATGATAGTGAATGCCATCACAGTTTATATCAGTGAATGCCATCACAGTTCAAGATAGTGAATGACATCACAATTCATGATAGTGAATGTTTTCAAAGTTTTTCATCACAGTCCAGGATAGTGAATGTTTTCAAAGTTTTCCATCACAGTCCAGGATAGTGAATGTTTTCAAAGTTTTCAAAGTTCACAGTTCGTATTAGTGAATGCTAAGACAGTCCAGGGTAGTGA